GCTTTCTCGGTGTTTGGTAGCTTTGCTGCAATGGAAAAAAAATGCAAGATTTGGCTTCAGAATTTCCAGGCACATCAGTACCACCTCCCAGCTCTGTGACCTGAACATACTTACAGAGCATTTCTGAGGATTTTCCTGTGTAAAATGGGATTCATGGAGCTGTTGTTCAAACCGGATAAGAAAAAGAGGGTAGAAATTGATAAAGTGCTGATATAAACGCTAGCTCTTATTGCAGTAAATGCTAAGTGTGTTTCGAATGAATGTTGTTTTCATGCTTCCTCTCTCTCCCCACCAAAACCACGCCAGGATCTTAAAGCAAATCCCATTCGTGAATCAAATCCTCTGCTGCTTTATCATTCCTTGCTCTTCCAGTTTAAAAGGAGAGTTAATTGAATGATTTGAGGCTACGAAGGGCCAGATCCCCCTGGGTCCCTGGTTTCCATCGTCATCTGGGGGAGCTGCTTTGGCTCTCAGCACCACACTGGGCACTATTAAATAATTTCCTGTAGCAGTAAGTTGTAGGAGATGGTCCCTTAGGGAATAAAATTTTGAGGATGAGGTCAAGCAAGGATTATTGGTGTTAAAAAGTAATTAAGTGAAGAGACAGGGGTGGGAGTTGAGACAATGGGGAGCCAGGGAAGAAGGAAGAAGGGAGGAGGAAAGAGAGGGAAAGGGGAGGAAGGGAGGGAGAAGAGTTAGGCTGTGCTGGGATCTGGTTACTCTCTGCCTGCAAGTTGGCATCTTTGGGATCTAAGGCAAATGATTTAAGCTCCCCGAACCATTTTTCTGATCTGTAAAAAGAACAGAACCCATTTACAGATGGGTTAAGCTGGTAATTATTGGAAAACATTGGCAAGTTTACTAATACTCATGTAATGCCTTATGGTACACATGGTACGTTCTGATCCATCATATTACTTGAATAGCAAATGACTCAAGTGGGCAAGACAGTGATTGTTATCCATGTTTCATACTGAGCTTCAAGGAGATCAATGATTTTCCCATTATCAACAGGCTGGTAAATGGCAACACTAACTGCTGTTGGACTAGGCACTGTTCTCTATGACCCTGGTTTCCACAGAGCACCTGTTGTAGGCCAGGCCTTGTGGTATGTGCTGAGGGTGAGGTCAGCCAAACCAACCTGGTCCCTGACTTCAAGGGACCTAATGTCTATTAGGGAAGACAGACATTAAGTAAATAACCATGCAACAAAATATGTAATTACATACTATGATAAATGACACAAGGAAATAAAATAACTAAGTCTCATAGAGAGTAAAACAGAGGGGAGATAACTGAGATGGGGAAGTGTATAGAGGAAGGCCTTTCTACTGAAAGAAAGTGTAGGCCAAGACTTAAAGTGTGAATCTGATTTAGCCAGACCCAGAATGAGGTATTCCAGGTAGAGGGAAGAGCATATTTGAAAGCCCTAAGTTACAAAACTGCAAGGACTCTTATAGTCAGAGTGTATTTTTTAAGGAGGAGAGAAATCTAAGATTAGGTGAAGAGTTAAAGGAAGGTAGCTCAGTGGCTTCACCTAAAAATCACTGGAGGGAGGTTTGAAAAAGTACCTGTGCTAAGGGCCCACAGGCAGAGATCATAATAGTTGGTCTGAAACGGGCTCTGGACAAAAGAATTTTAAAAAGCTCCCCAGGTGATTCTAATGTACAACCAAGGTTGAAAACCACCGGGCTAGACCTTTAGAACAGGATAAGCTGTTTCAATATTCTCCTAATGGGAAGGCACTGAACATTGTTAAGCACAAGGTAAGACAACATCAGATGTGCATTTTTAGGTGATCACTCAGGATGCTGTATGGAGATCAAAAGTGAGGAGGTGAGTGAACAGACTTTCAATAGCCCAAATGGGATGTGGTGGCTGGGACTGGAGGGTTAGCAATGGAGATGGAGAAACAGGAGTCAAAATATACTTGGGAAGTAGAATCAATGGGTAATCTATTTGTGTAGGACTCCCAGAGACAGGATTTCCAAGATTCTGGTATTTCTGAGATAATTGTCTGGGTAGATAGAGGCACCATTTATCGAGGTGGAGAAAACTGGACGAGAAGCAAGTCCAGTATTCTTTTGTATCTGTTAGGTTTGAGATGTCTGGGAGACATCCAAATGGAGGTGCTCAAGGGGGTAGTTTGATATACAGTTCTGGAGCTCCACAGAGGTCTGGGCTGGAGATGTAAATTTCAGAGTTGTCAGTGGGTTGATGATCTTTCAAGATCCATGTATGTCGACGACATTGTTTAGGGAGCACTAGAAGAATGAGGAGGAAAACCAGGAACTGAGTCCTGAGGATCCCCCATGGTTAAAGGATAGAGAGATCTAGAGAAGCTGATCTGCGTACTAAGGAAGGAGGGAGGGGGAAAAAAGTCTGAGAATGAGGTGCAGCTGGAGACAAAGGACTGAAGCGTTTGAGGAAGGGGGCTATGATCAGAGGGGTCACCAAACGTGGTTAGGATGCCAAGTTAGACTGAAAGCTTACACATTCCACCAGGTATGGTGGCATGGAGGCTTTCAGTGACTTGTAAAGGAGCAGTTTGGATGAAGTGATGGGGACAGAGACCAGTGTGCAGTGTTCTAGATAGTGAATGGGTACCCTAGGACACAGCAATGCATTGATAGTGTTAAAAGATAAACTGAATCATATTAAAATTTTTAAGAGTTTATTTGTGCAAAAATTTATTTGAATCAGGCAGCCAGACCTGAAGCAGTCTGAAGCAGGGGGAAAGACTTTTATAGAGAAGATGTGGAAGCAAAGCAAGGAAATCATTTGATTGGCTATAGCTTAAGGGTTGCCTTATTTAGAAAAGCCTAGTTGCCTATTTGTGATTGGTTATCCTTAGGTTTTGATTTCTCAAACTCAAGGCATTTGGGGCTTGGGTTTTGGTTTGCTTATGTAGACTACTAAGGCATTAGAGTCACCTCAGTCTAATGACCTCCTTGTTTAATTAATTTAACCTGTAGGAGGCAATTGCATGTGAAAACAAAGAGTTCCATGGAGGCATGTTTATTGAAGCAGTGTTTGTATTTGCAAAAACACAAGAACAACTTAAATTTTCTTCTAGAGCAGAATGGAAAATTAAACCATAAAGCTACAGAGTGAAATGGTTAAGGGCAAAGACCCTGGAGCCAGACTGCCTGGTTCAAATCCTACATTTTCCACTTGCTTGCAGTGTGACCATGGGCAGTTACTGACCCTCTCTGTAAAAGGGGACTAATAATAGACCATCTACCTCATAGGAGTATACTGAGAATTAAAGTAACTTAAAATATATAAAATAAGTTCAAATAAACATCTTGAATTAACAAACATCATTTTATAACTCAAAGGGTCTCAAGATAACTTTTATAACACCGTTTTACAGGTATGCAAACGATAGCTCAGTGAGGGGAAAGCGGCGTTTCTACTTCAGTAGAGGCTATGAGCCCAATCCCCAGATGCTTCCAGTACAAAGCTCCTTCACCACACCCCTCTGCTCACAGACCACAAACTCAGGTCTTAGGATTCTGGTTCAATGCCTTGATAAGGCAAAATGCTTAGGAGGTAACACAAATTCCATTTTCTAAAAATAAAATATCTTCAAACATACAAACTAGCATCAAACACTAACAAATGTAAAATGACATTCATGGGACATGGATCTCATCTATGACCTACAAGGGTTAAATTAGGGGAAAAGAAGACTGGAAATGCGACACTGTTGTCCTTCGCATTGGGTTGGCCAAAAAAGTTCCTTCACTTTTAAAGTACAAATAAAAGACACTTTTTTCATTTTCACCAAGAACTTTATTGAGCAATGTATTTACCATTTTGTTCCACTATCTTCTGCCATTTTCCAGGCAACTTCATAATTCCATCTTCCCAAAGCTTTTTATCTTTTTGAGCAAAGAATTGTTCTAAGTGCCTTTTACAGTCTTCCAGGGAATTGAAGTTTCTTCCATTAAGATAATTTTGTAAAGACCGAAATAAATGGAAATCCGAAGGTGCAAGGTCTGGTTAATATGTCAGATGAATCAGAACTTCCCAGCCAAGCTGTAACAGTTTTTGCCTGGTCATCAAAGAAACATGCGGTCTTGATGGAAGATGCGGTCTCCCTGATGGAAGATTATGCATTTCCTGTTGATTAATTTTGGATGCTTCTTGTCAAGTGCTGCTTTAAGTTGGTCTAATTGGGAGCAGTACTTGTTGGAATTAAACGTTTGGTTTTCCAGAAGGAGCTCAAAATAGAGGACTCCCTTCCGATCCCACCATATATGCAACATCACCTTCTTTGGATGAAGACCGGCCTTTGGTGTGGTTGGTGGTGGTTCATTTCGCTTGCCCCACGATCTGTTCCGTTCCACATTATTGTACAGTTTCCACTTTTCATCGCCCGTCACAATTTGTTTTAAAAAATGGAACGTTTTCGTTACATTTAAGAAGAGAATCGCATGGAGAAATATGGTCAGGAAGGTTTTTTTCACTTAGCTTATGTGGAACCCAAACATCAAAGCGATTAACAAAACCAAGCTGGTGCAAATGATTTTCAACACTTGATTTGGATATTTTGAGGATGTCGGCTATCTCCCGCGTGGTATAACGCTGACTGTTCTCAATTAATGTCTCAGTTTGATCACTACCAACTTCAACTGGTCTACCTGACCGCAGAGCATCACCCAGCGAGAAATCTCCAGCACAAAACTTCGCAAACCACTTTCGACACGTTCGATCAATCACAGCACCTTCTCCATACACTGCACAGATCTTTTTTTGCATTTCAGTTGCGTTTTTACCTTTCTTGAAATATTAAAGCATAATATGCCCAAAATTTGCTTTTTTCTTCCATCTTCAATATTAAAATGGGTAAACAAAAATTCACCAATTTTGGTAAGTTTTTAAAAAATGCATGCTGATACGACAGCTGTCACAATACAATCTAACAAAATTGTTTCGAATGAAGTAAAAGACAAATAAGCGCTACTAGAGCCATCTTATGGAAAAAAACCGAACGAACCTTTTGGCCAACTCAATAGTCATTTAAGGTTGAGAGCCTGCACACTGGTGACATGCTTGCTGCTTTGTTTTTGTTGTCGTTAAAATATGAAGTAATCTGGGTTTAGCCTAAATCTAAGCCTTGTCTCCTCTTTCGTCATCCTCCTTTCACATTCCCACTGTTTATCCTACTTCCTGATTCTCCCTCCCAACCCCAGAGCCTCAGTTTTCATGTCTGGAGGTCAAGCAAACGCCTACCTTTTCTTCCTGGACTTCAATCCATGCCACATTGTTAACAGATAAATTCTTGTGCAAGGCCCATCTGCTCATTCCTCTTGCTGCTTACTCGCTTTCAGGGGCTCCCTATGATCTTCAGAACGAGGTCCTTAGCATGGCAGGCAAGACCCTCTGTGACTCAGTGGGCTCCCACCTCACAAGATGCTATGACCCTCCTCACCTCCATCACAATTCCTCCACTGGGCTTTCCCGCCTCCCAACACTTGCCCAGGTTTCTCTCTCTGTCTTTCCCCTCTCCCTCCATCTGCATAGCTCCTGCTCAGCCTTCAAGATTCTAATCACACCTCCCAGCCCCAAGGAGGCCAACCCTTGGACCCTTGACTCTATCCCTCACCCACTCCTCCATGTGTTGGCTGCCCTTGTGGGCTCCGATAGCAGCACCCTGAGTTTGCATCTATCCTTTGCACTTATCACCCCCAATTATCAGTAGCTTGCCCCCCGTTCTCTCTCTCTCCCCCTTTCTCTCCACTACCCTAGAGGAACTCCTCTAGGGTAGAGACCATTTCTCTTGATGTCCCCAGTAAGTCTGGAAAGTGCTGCACATAGACATAAGAGACTAGATGCACAATTGAATTTTATTCCAGGATCCTGGAATTTGCTTCATAACTGGGAAAAAGCACAGAGGAAGTCATGGCTTCCCACTTTTCCTAGATTTCTAATTGTACCCAGTCAGGCACTGCACACATACTTGCTAGATGTTTCTGAGGTGCTAAGAAACTTGTTTTGTCTCTGACTGCACTTTTTTTTAAAAAAGTCTGTGTTTATAAGATAGGAGGCTTCACGTTGTGTAATTCCACAGATATTATGCTGCTCACTAGTTACAAAAATAATTGAGTATGCCTCATAAAGCAGACTTAATTTCACAAATGAGTTGTACTCAAGTAAATATTTACTTCTAAATGCAATTTTGTTGAAAAGTCTCTTAGAACACTTTCATTAAGCTCACATGACGTATAGGCTGTGTAGCTATTAAATCATTACTTAGAGAGATGATAATTTTAAATAAAGAGAAACATATGCTTTCAATGCATCAAACACTTTTTAGGGCTACCTACTTACATGCCAAGTCTTGAGGTGACCACAATACCTTTGATTTCTTTATTTTTCACACACACGCACACACACATACATTTCATAGGCAAGTCCAAAACAAAGCCATGATCTCTTACCTTCTCTCCAGCTCACTGCTTTAACCCTGGTCAACTGCCACTTACATGGGTCCTTGCAGTAGAGTTTAACGTCTCCTAATTCCACTCTTGTCATCCTTCATCCCCTCTTCTGCACAGCAGCTAAGTGAACTCTGTAAAATCTGAAACACATTATAACACTCACTTGTTTAACACCTTCCAGTGACTTCCCAAGTTACTCAGAATAAAATCCAAGCTCTTCACCTTTGGCGAGAAACCCCACCTGACCCAGTCACTGCCCATCTGTCCCACTCCTGACACACAGCTATCCCCGTAAGCTCTCTATGCACTGGCAGTTCTCTCTGCCTTGATCACTCAAGCCGGTTTGGGTCTCACCCCAGGAATTCTGCAATCACTGTTCTTTTACCAGTCTTTGGCATGGCTGACACCTTCTCATCATTCAGGCCTCAGTCAGAATCACTTCCTCTCAGACAGCATCCCTTCCTTCCACTCGCTCCATCACATAACTCTATTTTATTTTCGTCACAAAACCTACCTCTCTCTGTTGCGATTTAGCTTTTGCTTCTCTGCCTAGTTTTTGGTTGACCTCCTCCTCCTCCCACTCCCTTTGAACAAACATCTCCATGAGAAGAAGGGTCTGGCTTGGCTCGTTCACAGCAGTATCCCCAGGGCTTAGAATGGGTCCTAGTCCATTACAGATGTTCAACAAAATGTGTTGAATGCATAAATTAGGACACAATCCCTACCTGAAAGATCACTTATTTGTAAAATTAGATTGAACTTGGGACAATCTGGGATACGTGCTGTCATGGGTGAAGAAGTCCTAGAGCTGTCTCTTCTTCAGTGTTGACACCACCTTTTGATTATAATGACAGCATTCTGAAGAGTCCCGCCTCCCTCTACTTCATTTTCCACAGTGCAGTGAGTGCTCTGTCCTATACTCATGGCCTTTAAAGATAACGTATTACCTCAGTAGCACCCATATAAGGTATTTCAAGTTCTGGTTCTAGCCAAGCTCAGTGGTTTCACTCCTTGCCCTCTTCCCCCAAGCATCCTTCAATCCTCTGAAATCAAAACACTTGCAGACGCCAGTCACCTTAGCTTTGCCTTTCCTCCATGTTTTAACACCTTATTCTCTCTGCCTCCAATTCCATTCTCCATTTCTTAGACTGGCTGACTCTTATTCCCTGTTCAAGGCTCAGTCCAGATGACTTCACTTCTAGAAAACCTTTACTGTTTCTCCCTTTCACCTTCTACCCCAGGCTGGGTTGGTGCCTCCTCTTTGCTCCTGTAGTTCCCTGTGCTCAGCTCCAACCTAGGACTCATCCCATCTGACTGTTTTTGCCTTTTTATGTCTCTGCTTTTGCCACCAGGCCAGGAACTGCAAGAGACAGTCTGATTTATCCGATTTATCACAGAAGTCTCAGTGCCTAACATAATACACAATAAATATTTACAGTATAAGTAAATGAACTAATGAGTACATAGAGTAAAATTTCCAGGGGCCAGGAAGAATGGTACACTGAGAAGAGAGGAGGTCAAATTGGGGAGGCTTCCAGAAACAAGCAGTGTAGCTCTGTAGTCACTTATGAGCAATTCCAAACGCAAAAGCTCCAAAACCAAGTCTTTTCTTATTAGGTGGCAAAACTTCACTTGATCCATTTAGTATCTTAATTTATTCCACTTGGCATGAGTATTCTTATGCTTTGCTGTAAAACATTAGTGCAATTGAATGCAGGGTACTGCCCTAGACTCCACTGGAGATATTTTGTAATATAAGAATATAAACTCTGTTACCTTTCTTAAATCCAAAAAGGTTCTGGACTCAAAGGGTTTTAGGTAAAGGATTATGGCCCAGTATTTGAACTGTCCTAAAGGATGGATAAGATCCCAGTAGACAGAACTGTGCAGGAAGGAACAGAATGTACAAAGGAAAAGCAGCAGGTATGTTAGTAATGGTGATTTGTCTGGAGTTATCTGAGAGAAGAATGTCTAAGTTGACAGGAAGATAATATGGAAAGATGTTTGGGTCTGATGGAGTCCTTGAATTCCAAGCTAAAGAGACTGAACTTTACAGGTGATGGGAAGTCAGCAAAGGATTTTTAACAGACAAATGAGGTCAGGTAAAGCATCTCTGATATTCTGGAAACAACCTGTACTCGTCTTAATTATGTGGCATTTAACTGTTCTGAGCATCAGCTGTTTCACCTGAAAGCTGGGGATAATTTAAAATGAAATAAAATGAAGAATGCATGTGAAAATGTTTTCTAAGCTGTAAAGTTCTTTCAAAATATAAAGTGTAATTATTATTAACTGACAATGAAAACTGAAGGATGGATGGGCAGGGTTTAGGGGTTCAGTGTTGCATATGCTGAGTTTGTGGGATATCTAAGAAGCAACATCCAATTAACCAGGTGGAAGCCGCAGGAGTTGGTGCCTAAAAGCAACTATGAAATTTATCATAAAGATGCCCCTCATAAATATTAAAAGGAAGCGAAGTGTTCTCTGTTGCATTTACATTAACTGAGACATTGTATTTAAGTTTCTTTTGAGAAAGGGGTAAGGAAGTAAATATACAATCTTTGAGAGGATGTGTCATTAAGAAGCTAGAAGAGTGAAAACGTCAGCCCATTCATGCAGAGGGCCTTGTTGCTAAGTCATTCGCATTTTATGGAAAAAAAAAAAGATACTATGGGAAGTCACTGGATAAATAGACACTGCTGGGATTTGTCTTTGGATTTTTTTTTCTCCTAAATGAAAGGACTGTGGGTTTGTTCTGCATCCGAACTTCCTTTTCCCCCAAATTCTTTTTTTATCTTCCAAACTACATCTCTGAGAACACACTGAAATTTAATAGACTGTAATAACTGGAAGGACCATTATATTTCAAACCTCAGTCATTTTGTAGATTGAGACTGAGGTCCAGAGATGGGAAGTTACCTGCCCATCATCGCACCATTAGTCAGTATAAGGACCATTAGTCGTGGTCCGAAGGCCAGCCAGAGCCTTTTCCATTTACAACAGTGACAGAATCTATTGCAAGGCTGGAGACAATGGCATGAGCCTGGACAGAGAGAATCAGATTGTGATAACCATCCTTCTCATTTGGGTACTCAAATACAGCAGGAATTACCCCTGAGGTGGTCACCAAGCTATTTAGAACACATTTAGCCAGATTGTTCTGGAGAAACACAGTGAAGGCTGGGAGAGGTGGCCAAAGGAAGACAGAAATGGGCAATTGAAGGATGGCTCAGAAACTGAAAGTCTGGCTTTGGTTTTGAGTGTTTTTCTCTTAATGCATCTGACTGTTATGGAAGAAAGTGAACAGAAATGCATCTGTGTGTTTGTTTTTCTCACACAATCTCCTTTTAAAGCCGTGATGAAAGAAAGTCTACCACATGTGACTGGGCACTTTGAGTATGCCCTCCAGGTTACATAAAAGTCAGCGCTGAAACCAAGCTATTATTAGCACCATGCTTTCAACAGCTAGACCACTTATAACCAGCCCTTTCTGCAAGTGTATTTGTTTCCACATATTATATACATGACATACCCCCTCACACTTTATACATATGTGTATATATATTTTTTTCAGGATGTACAATCATTCATTCATTCCATCAATATGCATTTACTGAAGCATCCTGGGTGCTGAGAATTCAACAATGAGTAAGTCACAGAGGAATATTTACTCTGCGGTATTTCCACTTTGAAGAATCTTGGAGGTTTTTCACTGTTAGATGTTTGTATTGTTTTATTTTGCTTTCAATCGCCTTGATGGGATAATAGAATTGAACTTCTAGCTACCTATTGCTCTTTATTTCTTCACTAGGAGTGTTCTTTGGGGGCATTTCATGATTAGATTCCTCAATTTGCTCAGGGATGGTTTAGTTTTAATTTTTCCAAATTGTTTTATCAGAGCTATAATGAATCTTTATTCCTTCATGAAAATACAGTCTCTTGTGAAGCTTTTCCTGCCCTTGCCCTTCTCAATATTAATCATTAATAATTTCTTCTTTGAGGCCCCCATAAACACCCCTGACATGGCATTTCTCTCATTTGATTAAGCTGTATTTGTTCCCATGTCAGTTGTGAAGTTTAATTTCCTTCTAAGCTCCAAGGCAGAGCCCAGGGCCTGGCACATAGTGGATGCTCATAAATGTAGCCCTCAATAAACTTAATCAGGCACAAATGTATTTGTCCTATTGAAGTCACTGTCTAATTCAAAAGAACACATCAGATGGTCTGGAAGACAGACATATCGTGCCAGCCTGTTAATCACATCAAATTGTGGAGATGTGCCCTGCCTTGGTAAAACCACCTCATGGAGATGTATGACCTAGCAGCTACTGACGTTCTGAGCCCTACTCTCAGTCACCGTGGGGAGGACCCAAAATGAGCCCCACATCTGAGTGAATGGAAGGATGTTAATGAGTGGCCTGGATGAACTAGACAGGCCTGGTTTGCTTCATATTCAGCCTGATCCAGTTTCCATGCATCTTAGAAAAATAAGGACAAATATTTAGGCAATGATGCAATCCAAATAAGACAAAAACGTTTTGTGATGTATGTGGGGATCGCTGAAGGAGCATATAGAGTACATAGCAAATGCCTGCCTGGGGAATCGTTTCAGGGAGAAGCTAGATGTCTTGGAAGATTTGGCAAGAAGACAGCTGAGAGCTGTGTGCAGCCCATCAATGCATCCTGATTCCATTTCTCATCTTATATAATACAGTGGAAGTGAGGCCCCTGACTTCCTCACAGAGGAGAGCAAGGCTCACAGGCGTGAGTGTGGATCACTTTGGCACTGCTTATTATTGCTGCCACTACTTATGCTTCTAGTAAAATCCACAGCCTGGCAGTTGGTGTACCATCTCACAAGATGAGGTCTCACCTGTGAGCAGTATATGCCCAATCTAACATTTCATTATCTTTTTTTTTTAAGTAAATTTATTTATTTATTTTTGGTTGTATTGGGTCTTCGTTGCTGCATGAGGGCTTTCTCTAGTTGTGGCATGCGGGGTCTTCTCTTCGTTGTGGTTCATGGGCTTCTCATTGTGGTGGCTTCTCTTGTTGCGGAGCACAGGCTCTAGGCGTGTGGGCTTCAGTAGTTGTGGCACGTGGGCTCAGTAGTTGTGGCTTGCAGGCTCTAGAGCACAGG